CCATTTAATTTAAAATATGGAGTTATTCATACTTTCTATATTCATAGTTAAAATCAAGACACAAATGAAACCATACGTGTTTGCTAAGGAGACTTGTATTTCGCTTAACAAATGGACAAGAGCTGAAATACCAAAGGTCTCCCTGTTCCCTGATGGACCCTGTCCTCAAAGTACAATTGTTTCTAGGTCACTGAGAAAACGAAAGCAACGAGAGCATCCAGCTGCCACTCCACACCCACCCTTGTCCTTCACCTGTGTCTGTATTCTTCCCTGCTACAGAGTTTAAATATTCATTCCAAGTGTCAAGACAGAATTTCCAGCGACCTTCCAAGGCTAAACTAAACTACACATGTTTAAAATGGTGACAACTCCAAAATGTCAAAAGGCAACAGAAATAAAGAATGACTTTAGGTATTTCTATGTTTACAACTGGTTCAGCTCACTCTATGTTATGATGGTATACCATTTATAATAATCATTATACTATAAATGTAAGCTCATTTTTACAGTCAATCATACATTCTTTCAACAGATAGTTATGTGCCTCTAAGTGCAAGGCACAACTGGGATATAAAATACAAAATTTGAGACTGAAACTTATACATTAACATTAGTTCTTTTAATCCATGTTTCACAAAGTAACAAAACAAAGAGATTATTATTTATATTATGAATTTTTAAATTTTACAATGAACAGTAGTAACTAGAGGCAACTATCTGTATTTTTTTCATTTTAATCACTGTACCTACATCCTGCAGCTGATGTTCTCCATAGATGTACTCAGACCGCTTACAAAAGGAATTACCCAGTCTGTAGCCTCCACCTGTAAATGACTAAAATACATAAACAAATGAGCTAAAAACCCACGAAGGCTTATTAAGCAAAATGTTACAATAATGTGTGATATGTATTTTAAAACTAGATCAACTGTGATTAGCCAAACTGGTTTGTACTTTCCAAGAAAATTTTATATTAAAATGAAACTGTTATGTTATAAAGAAGTGTATTCAAGTAAGAAATTATGGTTCTTCCCATAAAAACATTAGTGACTCAGGAGCTGAAATAATTTAGCCAATTTTAAACAAATAAATACATTTATACACTAAAATATATTTCTAAGCATAAATAGATTTTAAAAAGTCACAACTTTTATGACGAGTCTTATATTAATAGTACAATTATAAAGCTTAAATCATATTTCACAAAGTAAATAAGAGATTCATAGAATAAAAGAAAAANTGAGTCTTTTCTAAAACTGCTCTTGATCATAATTTGTCCTTGAGGATATACTATGGTTCAAGTTAAAAAACAAACAAACAATATTTAACATACCATGATTGTGTGAATAATAGCCTACAGAGTTTATGGATTATTTTCATTTAACAAATAAGTTTCAGTCTATGTTGTAAGTACATTCACCATCAGTTTGTTCTTTTCTTCTTCCACCATCTTGAAATAAGCATCAATTTCAACAGTAATGCTGATCTTCAGTCACTCCCAGCTCCTTCCCAGCGACTCTGCAGGCTTCCAAGTCCACAGCACTGACTTAAACTATTATATCCTTGTATTTACCACTCACCATATGAGGCCTCCCATTTTTCTCAATGACTTCAGCATACTCTTTACAGCACTTCTGGCCTTTTTTTGGTATCCTGACATTATCTTTGTAGAATTCAAATTCAAAATTGATGCTAATTAGTGTCCTACAATACCTGTCCTTCAGAGTTTCTTCACTACCTCAACTCCAATGAGTTTCATCTCCACTCCTCTTCAGTCGCTCTTCTTGGACCATTTCATTACTTGGAAAAGCCCCACCTTCAATTCCTGGATGGAGTATAACCTCCTCCTCCAGTCCTTTCACTACTGCTTAAATCTCCCAGTTCATCACCAATATCTTATCAAAATATCTCATCCTTTAGCAAGAAGGGCTAGCTGGTGAGGTATGATGTTTAGAGGGGTCAGAGTGCTGTGTATGTGGCTTACTTGCACAAATTATAACTTCAAACTAACCTTTTAGAATCTTCTGCCAGCAGTAGGCCACTTTAAAAGATTCCTAATATAAGCTGCTGAATT